CATCTTGATGGATTTGTTTCTTACAGACACAAACATTTTAATTTCATGTGTTTGTAATAGACGTTAACTGATGGACTGGAGTACTGTGGATTGCTTGTGGATTATTGTGATGTTTTTATCAGCTGTTTGGACTCTCATTCTGATGGCACCCATTCACTGCAGAGCATCCAGTGCTGAGACACTGATGCAATGCTACATTTCTACAAACCTGATGAAGAAATAAACTCACCTACATCTTGGATGGCCTGAGAGTGAGTACATTTTCAGCAAATTTTTATGAACTATTCCTTTAAATGTGTAATTCCTGCATTAGTGTCACCAAATGAAACTGCAAACAGACAGTAGGGGGCAGGTCTGAGAGTGATGTTGATTTCAGCTGCAGCCAGCTGCCTGATCAGCTCACTTTACACAGTGTCCTTCACTGTCTGCAGCACACTCAAGAGTCAATGCAGGCTCAGCACGGAGCGTGAGTTTGTGAGGCTCTCTCTCTTCCACACACACACTCACACTCACACACTCTCTCACACTCACACACTCTCACACACTCTCTCACACTCTCACACACTCTCTCACACACTCTCACACACTCTCTCTCACACTCTCTCTCACACTCTCTCACACACTCTCTCACACTCTCATGATTTCAAATATGAAATTTAATTGTAAGCTTAGTGAACAGCTTTGGAGAATTTGATGTTTCCCCATTCAAAGAGATAGAAGCTGCACTTGCATGCCCGAGAGGCGTTTCCAAGATGGCTGCCCAGTGACATGACTTGTCTTAAAAGGACTTTGGTGATTCCAACAATATTGTAACAGTAGACATCATTATTCTCTGACATGATATTAAAACTTTACCTTTATAGTTATTGTCCTTGATGTGAACGGACCAATACATACTGCTGTTGAAGGTTTCATCATATTGTTTTTTTTTTTAATAAAAGCAAGAAACCATTAGCTGTGTTACAATGATTTTATCACTGCTTCTTGTGCACCTGTGAACATTTCTTAACTCTAGTAAAATCACTGTAAGGAATGGCCTCTTATTTCTTTATTTCATCATTCTGGCTGCATAACAGAAGTCAAAAACTGCCTTATTGTGATTTTGATTGGTGGTGGACAGTGGCAACTGATAAATGTTCTTCTGACCACAGAGATTCATTCCAAAGAGGAAGGGGAACGGGTGCAGGACCACCAGCATTCAACAGATTCAACCAGACTACAGCTAAACACCAGCAGTCTCCACAGGTAACGTCTGAGGGATGGTGGTGACGGATGCACAGATCATTAGTAAGAAACACACGGGTCGACAGGAGTCTGTTTCTGAGGAGAAGGGTGTGAGAGGACACATTTCCACATGTTAGTCAGACGGGAAATATGTCAAACTATCGTCCCCTACCTCGCCGTTCTGAAAGACAGAGTTCTACAACACAAACAAACAAACAAACACAGCATGTTCAAAGCCTGGACCCGAGACCTTTAGGTCAGCCGTGAAATCTGAAGAACACACGAACGAAAGTGAAAATGACCTTACATACTTTATTATGGGAGATTCATTTATCTATAAATACACTATGGATTTATTAAAAACTTAAATTATTGGTTCACCCAAAAATATACATTTACTGAAATGTACTCATACTCAGGCCATCCAAGATTAGGATGAGTTAGTTTCTTCATCAGATCTGTAGCATTGCATCAGTGTCTCAGCAATGGATGCCCTGCAGTGAATGGGTGCCATCAGAATGAGAGTCCAAACATCTGATGAAAACATCACAATAATTCACACCACTCCGGTTTATCAATTAATGTCTTGTGAAGACAAAAGCTGTGTGTTTGTATGAAACAAATACGTCATTAAGATGTTTTAACTTGTCGCTTCTGGCCAAAAGTCCATAATAATCAGAAATAAAAGAAAAAGTCAATCTCCTGTTCTCTCTCACATCAAAATCCACCCACATATTTGTTTAGAGCTTTTTTTATGGACTGATTTTGATTGTAAACGGTGCTTGATTTCTCTCCTGATTCAGACAAGATGACTTTCTCACTGGTGAAAGTGCTAGTATGGATTATGGACTGCCAGAAACAATGGACTGAAGTTAAAAACATCTTGATGGATTTGTTTCTTACAGACACAAACATTTTAATTTCATGTGTTTGTAATAGACGTTAACTGATGGACTGGAGTACTGTGGATTGCTTGTGGATTATTGTGATGTTTTTATCAGCTGTTTGGACTCTCATTCTGATGGCACCCATTCACTGCAGAGCATCCAGTGCTGAGACACTGATGCAATGCTACATTTCTACAAACCTGATGAAGAAATAAACTCACCTACATCTTGGATGGCCTGAGAGTGAGTACATTTTCAGCAAATTTTTATGAACTATTCCTTTAAATGTGTAATTCCTGCATTAGTGTCACCAAATGAAACTGCAAACAGACAGTAGGGGGCAGGTCTGAGAGTGATGTTGATTTCAGCTGCAGCCAGCTGCCTGATCAGCTCACTTTACACAGTGTCCTTCACTGTCTGCAGCACACTCAAGAGTCAATGCAGGCTCAGCACGGAGCGTGAGTTTGTGAGGCTCTCTCTCTTCCACACACACACTCACACTCACACACTCTCTCACACTCACACACTCTCACACACTCTCTCACACTCTCACACACTCTCTCACACACTCTCACACACTCTCCTCACTCACTCACTCACTCACTCACACTCACACACACACCGCAGTGTAGGGCTTTAGCTGTTAAAGAGAGACTTCCTGTGCTACTGGTTTGTAAACAGTGTAAAGAAGTGGTACTCAATCAGGGGGCCGGGGTCCACTAGCGGCCCTCAGCAACCTTTCAAGGGCGCCTCAAGGTGATGTCATTTAAAGTATTAAAATACTTCTAACTTAAATGAGAAGATTTGAATTCTAAAAAACACTATAAAAACAATGCATTAAATGTAGAACTTGTAAACTGATACACAGCAAAGTTTTGGGGGCAGTAAGATGTTTTTGAAATAAGTCTCTTGCGCATCAAAGCCGCATTTATTTGATCAAAAATACAGTAAAAACAGTAATATTGCGAAATATTACTACAACTGAAAATATGCTGATTTGCTGCTCAAGAAACATTTCTGATTATTATCAATGTTAAAAATGTTTTTTTGTTTGTTTGTTTTTTTGCGATTTTTGCTGAAACTGTGATACGCTACACTAAGTTTTGGGTAAGATTTAAATAAAAAAAAAAGAAAGAAAGACAAAAAAAAAAAGATTTTTACTTTTATCCAGCAAAGACACTAGGGATGTAACGATTACCGGTTTGACGATAAATCGTGATAAAAACACCCCACGGTTAGTATTACCGTTTCATATTTTAATTATCACTATAACCGTATTCACAACTGAGGATAAATAAATACTGTCCAGCACAGTGCTCCAGTGTGGGTGCATTTTGCGATAATTTTTTCTGCCGGTGCGACTAAATTTTGTGAGCGGTCGCACTGGCGCGACCACCGCATTGTTTAACTCATAAGCGCTGCATTTCTGTTGCATGTGAGAAACATCAAACGGCAAACGAAACTGAAAGCACAACGAAACCGCGCGACTCTCGTTTGAGCTGCGCAGCGCTTCGAGTGTAGAGCCTGGTTTATACTCGCCGCGTCAGGAGCGCGAAGCTGCGCGCAGCAAAAATTACGCGAATATTGAGGAAACGATGGATGG